CGCCCCAAACTCCACCGCCAAGGCAACCCCGTTTTCAACACTGAACTCGGGGGGCACGGGGCTTCTCAACACACAATCGCGTAGTCCATTGCAGTCGAAGTACTGCCATAAGGAACGCCAAATAAGTAATTAACGAAGCCTACTTTTGGCCCCGGAAGCGCGTAGGCGCACGAGGAGTGATAGCGAGGAACAACCACGGAAGGACCCAGGAGCAGCGAGCCCCTTCCGAACCCAAAAAGGTCACTATCTCGGCGCGGTAACTGTATGCCTGGTGGGCGTTTTTGTTACGCTAGCGGCGGCAGCGAGCTCACGCGGACGCGGCACGCTGCACTAGGAACGAGGGCAGTGGCGCGCGGCCTGGCGCGGATGCCGGCGAAGTCGGCCCCGTTGTTTTTTGCCCCGCTCATGCGAGCGACGATCCACAACGGGTTTTACGCGAGATTGCAGAGCGACCTTCCGCGACGGCTTGCGCGGGCCGCCGGCGCGCTACGCTGTGTTGGAGACGCTGGGAACTTACGCGCGACCTTAATTACCCGGGCAGCTTACGCGCCAATTGCGGCGCAGACGACCCCGTGTTTTTTTTACGCCGCTCATGTGAACCCTGCGTACCCCTGCAGCTCGGATTTCTCAGAAACCGCCTGGGGTTCAGAATCTGCAGGATGTCTGCTGCCGAGGGGGCCCTTCGGCGCGGTGGCCCGATGCCCCAGCGCCGATGGCAGAGGCCTCCCAGATGGGGTCCGAGTAGATGGGGTCGGAGGATCGCGCCGCATCTCATGTGCATCGGCGACGCTGGCTCCGCATCGGCGACGTCGGCCTGGATAAAATCGGGCTCCAACTCGAACTGCATGGACGACGCACCGGCGATGCTGCGCGATCCTCCGACCCCATCTACTCGGACGGCATCTGGGAGGCGCAGAGATAAGACCCGAACTGGTAGGGCTATGACGTTCCAACCTACTTTAGCCTTGATCACCAGAAAGAATTTCGAGAACCAAGAATGCACCGAAACTGGAAGGTTTTCTCGTGTCGGGCCCTGGGAGGCGATACTCGTTCGACACCTGTTCGATGCACACTTTTCTGGGTGCCCTACATTGCTTCTGGGATGTGGTCCTGAAGTACGATGGGAGCAATATAGCGGTAGGGTTCGACAGCGGTCGCGGACCTGCACAGCTCGCCGCCTGCTGCGCTGCCAAGATGCACCGGCGCGCCGTCGACGTCCACGCGCCCCGAGGCCAGGGCGGCCGCCACGGCGCCGCCCGCCCCAACGGCCAGCCGGCGCGCGTTGCTGGTGCGGATGTCGAGGCGGCCGCCTGGGCCTCGCCGGAGGCGCAGGGAGGCGCGCGCTGCGGGGGAGGCCCTCTGCAGCACGCGCAGCCCGAAGCGCCCCGCGTACTCCGGGGAGCTCGCGGCGATGCTGACCTCACCCTCCTCCAAGACGCCCTCCAGGCTGCGGCGGCCCCTGGCGACAACGTCCGAGGTCCACGCTCTCATGGCTGGGTCGTGCATGACCCCGCCGTCGTTGGTGGCCGCGGTGTCCCACCACCAGTGCTGCTGGTCAAACTCCTGAAAGGTGACGTTTGCACCCTCCTCCTGCAAGTGCCGTGCCATGCGACGTCCGAACCACGGCGGTACGGAGGTGTCCTTGGAACCGACCCGGACCATCGCCGGCATGCCACGCAGATCCCACCGGCCCTCAAGGCGGGCATGGCTTGGGACGTGAACTCTTCTGCAAAACAACCGCCTCTTCCCGTTCGGGGAGGCCTTCGCCATCTCTCTGGGGTGTCTGGAGGGGGGGGCGCGACCAAGGAGAGCGTCCAAGATGCCCCAGGACGGCTCAAACAAGACCTTAAATACACCGGGCTGGCCTCCAAGATGGCGCGGTATAGCCCAACTTTGCTCCGCGTGGGGGCCACACTGAGGCAAGCCGATTGAGCGACGAGAAGAAATGGGCCTTATGCAAGGAGCCATTGCGAACGACCTTATGCCCCGACTTATGCGGGCCGCCAGCGTGGCACATCGAGCGAAGTAGAGGGCGTTCAGGCGCGGCCCTACGCAGGAAGATTACGCGCGAAAGTCCTCGCAATCGACCCCCTTCTTCTTCAGCCGCCGAACTGGAAGGACAAGCGGATAAGGCAAACGTCACCACATGAGCATGCGTGTTGAAGGACTTGTGCATCTCGGGGGCATGCTTGTGAGGCTCCGTGGCCACCCCAGCGACGAAAATCAACGCGAGGCGGCGCGGCGACCCTGTGCGCTGAAGAGAGGGCGCTCACGCGCAAACTTACGTCAGAAACCTACGCGCGAGTTTCCGCGCATGTGATCCCTCTGCTCACGTCGGTCGCCTGTGGCCGTCCTGTGGCGGTAGTTGGGAATCCTGTGAGATACTGCTACCCCGTCGTGGAAGGCCCTCGTCGCCACGGCTGGATTCGCTGAGGAATTCTGGTCAGAAGGCACCCTGCGAGAGGTCGTTGGAGTAGCGGTATACGGTCGGACCTGGGACAGAAGCACATCCTTCAAGACCATGAGACCCTCCGCCGGCCAAAACATACACACACACACAGAACATCCAAGGGTATCCTCCCCAGGATGCACAAGAACATCATCCAACAAACACGAAGAAAAACAAGGTACCCCATCGGCCTCGACCTTATACCTCGTTCCGACTGCAGGTCTGCCCCCCCCAGTCTGGAGGCACAAGCGAGGCCCCAAGGAGGGCAGGACCCCGGGAGGGACCCCGAAGAGCGCCCTGCGGGCCCCCATGGGAATCCCAAAAGGGCTGCAGCAGGGTATCTGTCGATCTCCAAGTGGAATGCGTGAACTGTTCAAACGACGCTAGGACGAGAATAAAATCGGGCACGGATGAACCGAAAATCTGAGATCTGGCGGCTCTGGAGGATGTCTCGGGCGCCGCGGCCTTCTCAGAGCGTCCCAAAACGCTCTGAGAGCATCCGGAACGCTCTGGAACGGATCTATCCTCGTCCTGGCGCGGCCCGAATTCTTTTCTTTCTGTTGACCGATGGCCTCCAAAATTGCTGCAAAAGGTCTCGAGAGGCCCCTAGAGCCCCGAAGGTTTCGAGGGGCCCACAAGTTGGCTGCAAATCGGATAGAGTTTTTTGGGGGGGGGCCGAGGTGATCCCGGCTTCGGCTTCATGAGCGGCCCCATTCTGCTCCACGATGCTCTTCTTCGCTTCCCCCTCCGCGACAAAGATCCAGCCGCCCAGAGTGGCTTGTGGACGGGCCTGTGGGCACACTTTTTTTGATTCGCGGCCCGCAAGGAAAAGTCCAGAGGGCGGTGTGAACGAGGCTGGGGCACAGCGCACGGGAAGGCAGATAATTAACGGCGCAGCACAAGTGCCGGCAGAGAAGGCGCTTGTGGGCACACGCGAAGCGCTAAGAATTGGACGCGTACAAGGAGTTCTCGTTCTCGGCAACGCTGGCGTGCAGCAGGCCCAGCAGCACCTCTCGAGGAGCAGAAAAAAGGCACGGAGGCATGGACATCATTTCTCGGAGGTCCGCGCAGGACTCCGAGAAATCGTGCTCATGCCGTCGTTTGCCCTTCGAGCCTTGTCCAGGTGCATCAGCGACGTCTCGTGCACCCAGAGGTTGTTCGCGTCCCCATACTCCTCGCGGCTGTACCTGGGACGAAGATTACATGCAATGATCGGACTGGCTCAGGATCCGTCCCAAGGTTTCCAGAGTATCCGGCGGCCCTCGTTTCTGCAGCCCGTGTGGAACACTCGGGAATCTTGGAAACCCTGGGAATCTTGGAACGTATCATTCTCACCACCTCGCCGCGCGCTGCCGCAACTGGGAGATTTCGGCTCGGGTTCGCAGTGGGTCCCGATGCTCTCCCTGGTGGGCTCTCCAGCTGCACTGCGTTGGATGTTTCTTTGCCAATGCGCCGGGTAGGCGCCAGGCTTAGGTCGGGCGTGCCCCCCTACAGGCGGATTATGTTGTTGTTGTCGTGTCATTGTTTCTGTTATTTCTTTGGCTAACAAAACAGACAACACAAAAGAAACACCACAAACAAAACAAGTAGTAACAACACATCGCAAGATCGTCCCCAGTAGAGGGACACGCCCGACGCAACGCCAGTCTCGACCGACCGTCCTTGCTGCCCTGAGTACCAGCCGCACGCGGAGGCCACGCCCAGCACGCGGTCGGGGATGCGCGTGGCCAGGCCCCACGCGCCGTGCCCGCCGCGCGAGTGGCCGTGCACGACCAGGCGGTCGGGGTCCGCCCGGGGCACGGAGCCGCCGAGCGGTGCCGCCGCGAGCACGTCGATGGCCCGCAGCACGGTGCGCATGCCGACGTCCTCTGAGCATCTTCTCAGGGTGGAGGGCCAAGGTTAAGTCGGGCGTGTCCACCTACAGGGGGGTTTTGGGCGAGAAATAGAAGATACTCAAAACCATACCCCCCAAATCGGCAAACATAGTGAACAAATCGTCCCCTGACTATTGTTTTGACTATTTTTGAATATTCCCCCTGTAGAGGGACAGGCCCGGGTGAAAGCCATATGGTCTTCTGCACCTCGCAAATCAATTCGTCTTGTGATTCACCCTTCGCAGATTCGGACCTCGAAGACCCATCGAGACGGCATTTCAGATTTCACCCTTTGCCCTCCACCCAAAGAAAATGCTCGGGTCCTGCAGAAGGAGGCAGAAACTGCACACGTCGGAAGAGGTAGGCAGGAGCATGAAGCAGGAGGGCGTTGGAAGTAGATAGGGCTTCCGCCCACCTCCTGAAGATGAGGGAATCGGGAAAACCACACGATTGCGGCTAAAGTAGATCGGGAACTGGTCCAAAAATACCTACTTTCAACGACCGATGGGAAGCATAAACAGTCGAAGGTCTGCGCGGATTTCTCGGATCGGCGCCGGGCCCCCCTCCCTGGCGCGCGGAGCGCGCCGGGGGGGGGCGCTGCAGGCGCCGCCAGAGGGGGGGTCTCAGCGCAGGTCCAGGCAGTCCGCGGGGAGCTCCAACAGTTGATGTTTGTGCAATTATTCCTCCATTTGTCCTCCCAGTTGTGCGGGCCGCCCCGCTCCGGTGCTACCATCGGGCGTTGGCAGGAGCGCCCCTGGCCCATGCCGGCGTCTTTCCGGCTCAGCCTGGAGCCTCGGGTCCGCCTCTGTGCCTCCCTGGCAGCTCTGGGGGCACCCTTGGCCAGGACCACCCCGGCCAGCGCCCGACATCACCCAGAGCCCCTCGAAGCCGAAGACGAAGTCCCCGGGGTGGGTGGGCGAGGGCTTCATCTTGTACGCGTCGGCCTGACCCTGCCAGGTAACTGCAAGAGCCCATATCCCAGCAAGCCAGGTGCCCGAGAAACGGGCGCTGGGGCTCAGAATGCGATCAAGGCCTGCGGGCCGAGGCGTCCCCGGCTTGCCGTGCCGTCTGGGGAGGGGGGGGGGGCTCTGGGGCCCTCTGGGCCTCCGGGAGGCGTGCTCTGGCCTGGAAGGCACCTGCGCCTCCCGGGGAACGCTGGGGCCACCCCGAGCCGGTGCGCCCCAGCTGGGATGTCCGGCACCCCAGGGCGAGCACGCGCACCCCTCTCTGCCGCGCTGTCCCCCCCTCGTGCGCACTGAGAGGTGGCGTCCGTTGGCACTCCTGGACGGGCCCGCCCTCTTCAGACGAAGCCAGGACGAGGATAACATCCCTCCTCCTCCTCCTCCTCCTCCTCCTCCTCCTCCTCCTCCTCCTCCTCCACCTCCTCCTCCTGAGGTTAAGATAAATCGAGAATCCCTAGGATCCGGCGGCTCTGGAGGAGATCACGGGCACCGCAACCTTCTCAGAGCGTTCCGGAACGCTCTGAGAACGTTCCGGAACGCTCTGGAACATCCTCCTCCTAGCCCCGCCCGACCCCTCCCCCCCGCAGAGGGCGCAACGCTCCGCAAGAAGGATGCTCCGATGCCCCGGCCCAGCGCCAATTGGACCCGCAGGGGTGAGGCTCGCACATACGATCAAAACTGATAGCGGGGACGTGCGAAAAGGATGCAAAGGACCTTGAGCGCCCATGTCGAGGCTCTTCGAGCGCGGCGGGCCATTGAAAGGGGTTAAGGACTGACAAAAGAGCCACGGATGCAAGGTTACCCTTGGGAAATTTAGAGGCCTCCTAGATGGGGTCCGTGTATATGGGTCGGAGGATCGCGCCGCATCGCCGATGCATCACCGATACATCGGCGATGCATCGACGATGCATCGGCGACGTCGGCGTGAAGAAAATCGAGCTCCACATCTAGCCACGTCGCCGATGCATCAGCGATGCGGAGCGATCCTCCACCCTTATCTCTGGCAGTCGCTCGGACGTCCATTCCCCGTACATTTGTCGATATCGTGAGTTATGTTTGTGCTCGATGGTCCAGGATGCCACTCGATGGTCCCCGCCGAGAAAAATACACGCGCCCGAGAGATGCCAAGATATACTCCGACCCCTAGGAGGCCTAGAAAGTAAGACGAAGCCAGGACGATGAACTGATCGGGTGAGGATAAGTCGAGAATCCCTGAGATCTGGCGGATCTGCAACACGCCTCGGGCGCCGCATCCTTCTCGGAGCGTTCATTCCGGAACGCTCTGAGAGCGTTCCTGAACTCTCTGGAGCGTCTTTATCCTCGTCCTTGTCCAGCCCGAGACAGACTGCCCACCCAGAAATCCGATGTTGCGATTTTTAGCAATGCCGGGTCCCCAGAAGTCTCGACCCATTCGCCATGACTGGGTTTTTCATCCCTAGTCGGTGTGCTGACAGTCTCGGGGCCCTGCGAGGGCCCCTATAGAGGCCGAAAGCTGCGAAAAACCTCCGTCCTGGCTTCTTCAGTGCGCCTGGTCTCTGCGCATCCTTACCATCTGCTTCGACCGCACGCGGTTGAAGGGGCCCAAGGACACACAAATAACACACAATATTTTCCCATATTTTCGAATATTTCAAATATTTTCTGGGTTCCCAAGGCCCCAAGGCCCCAAAGATTCCCGATATGTTCACATATTTTCTGGGTGTTTGCCTTTCCGCCCAATTCCCATATTTTTCCATATCCCCATGAGGATCGACGATGAATGGTGTCTGTCTGTTTTTTCCCTTCCTGAACGGTGGCGGGCCCTGGGCCTGCGAAACTTGCGAAAAAACTCCGTCCTGGTTGTTTCAGTGCGCTGGGTGTCTGCGCATCCTTACCATTCCTCCTCCTCCTCCTCCTCCTCCTCATCCTCATCCTTCTCCTCCTCCTCCTCCTCCCCCTCCCCCTCCTCCTCCTCCTCCTCCTCCTCTTCCTCCTCCTCCTCTCCTCCTCCTCCCTCCTCCTCCTCCTCCTCCTCTCCTCCTCCTCCTCCTCCTTCCCCCTCCTCCTCCTCCTCCTCCTCCTCCCCTCCTCCCCCTCCCCTCCTCTCCTCCTCCATCCTCCTCCTCCTCCTCCTCCTCCTCCTCCTCCTCCTCCTCCTCCTCCTTCCTCCTCCTCCTCCTCCTCCTCCTCCTCCTCCTCCTCCTCCTCCTCCTCCTCCTCCTCCTCCTCCTCCTCCCTCCTCCTCCTCCTCCTCCTCCTCCTCCTCCTCCTCCTCCTCCTCCTCCTCCTCCTCCCCCTCCTCCTCCTCTGCTTCGACCGCACGCGGTGGCGGGCCTGCGGCTCCACGCCGACCCCGGACAGCGACACCACGGTCGGCACGGAGCCCGCGCCGCCGGAGCCGCGCGGCCGGAGCACCGCCGCCGAGCCGACGGAGCCTCCGGAGGAGCCAAGTTAGGCACCGGTGCCGCCACTCTCGGCGGCGCCCACAAGAGGCCCCCCAAGAGGCCCCCCCAGACCCCCTCGAATTATGAAAAAATCACGACGGGAGGTTTTCATGACTTTTGGCCTTTGCGGGCCCTTACCGGCCCTCGGGACCGTCAAAAAACGACTCGGGACGAAAAACCGGTCCCGGGGACTGGGTCGAGACCTCGGGGGGTCGACGTCATGAAAAAATCATGACGTCGGGGGTCTGGGCCAGGAGGCCCCAAAACGGACCCCAAGAGGCCCCGGAAACTGCCTCCGTGAAGCCCCCGAGGGGCCTCCCACGGGAACCCGACGCACATCCACTAGGCGTATAACCCACAACCAGGGCATGGTGGCAGGCTTGCCGTGGGCAGCTGGATACCGCCGCTCTTGGCGGCGCCCAGGAAGGAGCAGGGGGAGGGGGGAAGGCTTCTTAGGAGGCCGCGTCTTTTAGACAGCGCGGGCCTGACATATATAGAGAAGGCCCCCGCCTTCTAAGAAGCAGGGGTGCTTCTAAGAAGCCTTCCCCCCCTTCCCCCTGCCCTCCTCCGCGCGCAGCCGAGGACCTCTCCCGGGGCGCGCTCTGACCCGGACTCCGAGGCGAACTCAGCTGTCGACGAGGGCGGCCTGCTAGGAGGCCCAACCGAGCGAAAACAAGCCGAGGGCAGCGGCATCGGTACCGTCGGAGCGTTGACCAAAGGACGTCCAAGTAAGAAGCGAGGCCCCCTTCTTCCAAAAGGTAAGCTTCGATTTCCCATCGAAAACCTGAGAGAATCCTGAGGCGAACTGCAAAACAACCAAGGAGCACTGAACCCTCCCAAACGAACAGGGTTCCTTCTTCAGCGCCCCGACTGTACCCTTAGGTCGGGCATGTCCCCCCACAGGCGGATTTTGGACGAAAAAGTAGCATATTCACAACATGCTTAAACATACTTAATCCATAAATTCAAAAAACACACACACACACACACACACACACACACACACACACACACACACACACACACACACACACAAAAAAAGAACGCCTCCCTACAATTTGTTTAAGTAGCTTTCCACATTCCTCCTGTAAAGGGACAGGCCCGACCTTACTGAAGGGGCACTGGGACACACAAAGAAATACACACACATAACAGGATTCCCCATAGTTTCCCATATGTCATGGGTTTTTGTCTTCCCCCCCACTTCCCATATGTTTCCATATTTGCTGGGGAATCGACGATTAATTGTGTCTGTGTTTTTCCCCTCCTGATTAACCGTACCCTTATGTCGGGCGTCCCCCTACAGGGGGATTTTCGACGAAGTTAACAAAAACAATAATACCCCAAGGCAAAAAAAATACTCAGACAATAGTCCCCAGACTATTTTTGCTTTTTTTTCAATATTTTGAGGGTATTCTATATTTTTCATAGAAAATCCCCCTGTAGGGGGACAGGCCCGACTTAACTGTACCCCTCCACTGAGAGCCGTCGGCGTCGAGGAAGGACAGCATGGCGGACTGCGAGGCCCTGCGGCAGCGCAGCGCCACGGGCAGCACCACCTCGCGCGCGGCGCCCGCGCCCTCGAGGGCCACCGCCACCTCGAAGCGGGCGCAGGCGGCTCCCTCCCGGTCCTTCGGCGGTGGACAAACCGCCCTGAAAAAAACCTCCCCGAGAAAACACTCCGTCTTGATTTATCTTCCATGCGCTGGACCTCTGGGGAGGGCCCCTCGAGGCCGAGAAATACGAAAACCCTCCGTCTTGATTCCGTCCATGCGCTGGACCTCCAGGTCCTATATCAGCGGTGGACAAACCTCCCTTCAGCAAACCTCCCCTTAGAGAAAACGGCCTAGGGCCGAAACTGACGGACCTGGACCCGCAAAAATGACGGCCGCGGCGCCCTGTCGCGACCCGAAAACGGCCGATTCGCTAATCGACGTGTCAGGGTAGGAGGTCTATCCACCCCCGATCCTCTGGGGGCCCGGTGACGTTGAGCTCCACGGGCAGCTGCGCCAGGGCGCCCGGGGCAAGCCTCGCGACGGCGCGGGCGCCGTGCACGCGCAGATCGGGCGCTCCCTGCTGCCAGGGCGAGGACAAAATCGGGTGAGGATGAAGCGAGAATCTCCGAACTCGGCGCTGGGGGATGTCTCGGGCGCCGCGGCCCTCCCGGAGCGTTATGGAACGCTCTGGAACGGATTATCCTCGTCCCCAGAGATCCGATGTCGCGATTTTTTCGGTACGGGGTCGTCGGAAATCTCGACCCATTCCCCAGGACCGGTTCTTCATCCTGAGCGGTTTTTTAACGGTCCTGGTGCCCGGCGGGAGCCCCTCGCGGCCGAACAATATGAAAAACCTCCGTCTTGACTTCTTCAATGCGCTGGATCTCTGGGGAGGGCCCCTCGAGGCCGAAAAATACGGAAACACTCCGTCTTGATTTATCTTCCATGCGCTGGACCTCTGGGGAGGGCCCCTCGAGGCCGAGAAATACGAAAACCCTCCGTCTTGATTCCTTTCATGCGCTGGACCTCCAGGTCCTATATCAGCGGTGGACAAACCTCCCTTTAGCAAACCTCCCCTTACAGAAAACGGCCTGGGGCCGAAACCGACGGACCTGGACCCGCAAAAATGACGGCCGCGACGCCCTGTCGCGAACCGAAAACGGCCGATTCGCTAATCGACGTGTCAAGGTAGCGGTAGGAGGTCTATCAACCTCCGACTATAGCCCCGCCTGGCCTGCCCCGCCTGCCGGACCTCGGCCACGACCTCCGCCCACGCCGCGCCGAGGTTGCGCACCCGCAGGTTCAGGGCAGAGCGGGCCGCGATGAGCCTCCCCAGCACCACGTCGGGCAGCCCCTTCTGTAGGGAGCCCACAAGGGACGTACGCGCCCAGCTTTGTTTAGGTCGGGCCTGTCCCCCTACAGGCCGACTTTGGACGAAATTCTAAAATAGTCTAAGAATGCACAACAAATCTTCAAAAATGATCAAAGAATCGTCCCCATACTATTGTTTGGCTATTTTGGAATATTTCCCCTGTAGAGGGACAGGCCCGACTTAAAGCTATGTGCGTGAACATGGCCCTTCGATCCGCGAGACGGGCCGCGTGATACGAAAATTCGGGCAATGCGTACTCTCGAAACCAGCGTGGATTCATGTACGTGTACGTCCTTCTTTCGCTCCTGATTCTAGACGAGCGCGTTCCACTACTCGCAGAGTGGCTGCTCGCGAATGGCCCGGATCCGCCGCGGGGGATCGCACGAGAGAGTCCACCGAAGCAGACGTCTGTCTTTCGGACGCTTGCGAGCAGGCACTTTGCGCGCAATGGAACGCGCTCGGTGACCTTCTGCGAGATGGTCGCGGTCACGTCCGCGTCGGCGGGCACCGGCTTGAGCGCGCACGCGAACCGCAGGGGCACCTGTCGGCGGCGAGCGAGGGTGGGAAGTGAAAGGGAGAAGGCCTTCTCAGAAGGCGGCGAGACCTCTCAGAAGGCCTCTGGCCTTCTGAGAAGTTGCCCGTGTCCGCGGGGAAAACTTGGGAAACCTCTCAGACGGCCAGGGGACTTCCCAGCCTTCTGAGAATCGGGGGCGCGCAAGCATGGATTCGCGATCCATGGACTTGGCGCGCTGTCGCCAAATCCACGGATCGGGGGAGATGCCCTCCCCCAAATGCCGCCTCCTGCGGCCGCGGAATTCAGCGATGTCCCATGGAAACGGGACCCGTCGCTAATCCACGCTCCCTTGATCCATGTTCCCAGAGATCCGATGTCGTGATTTTTTCAATGCGGGGTCCCTGAAAGTCCCGACCCATTCCCCGGGACCGGTTCTCCATCCTGAATAATTTTTTGACGGCCCCGGGGCCCTGCGAGGGCCCCTCGAGGCCGAAAAATGTGAAAAACCCACGTCTTGATTTTTTCAATACGTTGGATCTCTGGGTTTGCGATCGCCTGCGAGAAGGCCTTCCCCTTCTCACCTTCCCCCCCGGCTCGCCGCCGAACCTTGCCGCGCACCCGGGCGAGCAGCCTGTAGAGGCCCGCCTCTGGCAGGCTGACCGGGGTGGCGACGGTCGCGCCCCGGTCCTCGGGAGACCAGGAAAAGCGGCATCAGCTCAGAGGAGGGCAGGGTGAGACAAGGGTGACGTTTTTGCCTTTTTCGCCTCCGAGGGGCCTCCTCGTCGCCACGGCTGGACGCAGCGTGAAAAATCGGTGCGTTTGGACCCTGGGAGAGGTCCAGGGACCGATTTTGAGCCGATTTGGCCACCGTTGTCTCACGGCCGTTGTCTCACGTTGCCCTCTTCTGGTCAGCACAGACTCTCGGAGCTTCGCGCGCACTTCTTGGATCGGTGTGGGGCCCCGGCGATTCAGTGGAAAACATCCTGGCGAAGGTTTTTCGGCCTCGAGGGGCCCTCGCCAGGACCGTCAAAAAACGGCTCAGGATGAAAAAGCGGTGCTGGGGAATGGGTCGAGGCTTCCGGGGACCCCGTATCGAAAAAATCACGACATCGGATCTCTGGATTCCCTGGCGCTCGGAGCGCGCCAGGTGGCGGCGCCACCAGGCACCGCCCGGGGGGGGGGGGCCAGCGCAGATCCAAGCAATCCGCGGGCAGCTCCGACAGTTTGTGTGTTGATTCCGTTTTTTGTTTCTCCCCCGGCTCCCGGTAGATATTGCCAGCAAAGGGCCCGAGAGCGCTGTTGAGCAGAGACCGACCGTCCTGGCACTCCTACAGGCCTCCCAGAACATGTCCGCAGCATCCACGAGCGCTCCAAGCACACGTTCTTAGAACACGGAGCCGGCAGATTGAAACAAGACGGCCCCAACCAATAACAATGTTCAGAGCACATCCCGTGCAAACTCCACAGCGGTTCTCAGAACATGCCCTGGTGGCCCTGTAGGCAGGCCGGGACGTCTCGTCACTGCTCGACGCCGGAGCTCGAGCCCGCCCGGGCGACCTTGAGCATCGTTTATCCGACCCCCATCCCCAGCGGCGTGGCCTGGGCCCCACTGGCCGATTTACCCCCCTAGATGGGGATGTAGGCCGCCCCCTCCAGGCTTCAAGGGGTGTATGCCCCACTGGGTGGGGGGTAATTTGGTGGGGGTCTCGCAGGGGACTCGGAGATCCGATGTCGTGATTTTTTCAACACGGTGCCCCTGGAAGTCTCGACCCATTCCCCAGGACCGGTTTCTCATCCTGAGTCGTTCTTTGACGGTCCTGGGGCCCGGCGAGGGCCCCTCGAGGCCGAAACATACGAAAAGCCTACGTCTTGATTTTTTCGATGCCTTTGATTTCTGGGGATGGGCATGGGGATGGGGGCGGGGGATGAGGATGGGGGTCGGTCTTCTACGATGCCGAGGCCTGGAACGTGTGGAGGCCGCTGCAGTCCACGGCGAAGCGGCCCGGCGCCTCGACCTTTGAAAGGGGCCCTGGGACGCACACGCACACACACGCACACACACACACACACACGCAAACACACACACACACACACACACACACACACACACACACACACACACGCAAAAACACACGCACACACACGCACACACACACACACGCACACACATTATAAATATATATATAATATACACAGAGAACAGGATCCCCCACATCCTCTCATGTTTTCCTGGGTTTTTCTCCTCCCTCCCTTCCCAAAATAACAGGATCCACCACATTCTCCGACACCTCATGGGTTTTGCTCTTCCCCCCCCTCCCCTTTTCCAATATTTCCCCATCTCTTCCGGGGGAAAAGACGATTCATTGTGTATGTTTTTTAGGGACGCGCTTCCCGACACTGCGCTGAGATTCGCACAGGAACGCGGATTCTGGTGTATACGGGATCCAAGTGTACACATGTCTCGCTGTTTCCCTCGGACAACGGGGGAAAAAGTACACCACCCCGACGTCGCCCCTGAACCTTAAAAAAGTCGTGGGACTGAAAAACAACCCGCCACTTGTAATGTATATGTTCAAGTTTGAGATTTTCCCCCCCCTCCTCGAACCCTGAGGGTGTCGACCGCTTCTTGGCCGACCGACCCAGTTTGCGACTTCCTTTCCAAAATAACAGGATCCCCCACATTCTCCTACACTTTCTGGGTTTTTCTCTCCCCCACCCCCTTTCCACAATTTTCCCCACCTCTTCCTGGGGAAAAGACGACTCACTGTGTCTGTGTGTTTTTCCCCCCGCCTCGAACCCTGAGCGTGCCGACCGCCCAGTACTGGGCGTACAGGACGTCCTGCGGGCTACCCGCTGGCGGCCCCTGCATCAGCGACTGGAAGGGGACGTGGCCGTGGGGGAGGTCCACCTGGGCGCCGAGAACAGCAGGGCACGCGTGCTCTGGCTCTTGCACGCTTGAGGCGAGGAGGAGGAGGGGGAGGAGGAGGAGGAGGAGGAGGAGGAGGAGGAGGAGGAGGAGGAGGAGGAGGAGGAGGAGGAGGGATGAGGAGGCAGAGGAGGAGGAGGAGGAGGAGATGGGGGGATCGAGGAGAGACAAAGGAGGAGGAGGAGGAGGAGGAGGAGGAGGGAGGAGGAGGAGGAGAAGGAGGTGGGTGATCGAGGAGACAAGGAGGAGGAGGAGGAGGAGGGGGAGGAGGGGTAGGAGGGGCAGATGGGGCCAGGGTCTTACGCAGGATGACGTAGCGACCCTACTCTGGCAACACCTGGAAAGGGGACGCGGCCGTGGGGGAGGTCCACCCGAGCGGCGACAGACGAGGGATCTCACGCATGATGGCATGGCGACCTTACGCGGTGGCCTACGCGGGCCGCCAGCGCAGCACGCAACCTTGGAAACGAGGGCGCGCACTCGCGACCACACGCGGGCAGCTGACGCGCCAACGCCGGCGCAGACAACCCCGTTTTCCTCCGTCGCCCACTTGGCATCGGACATCGGCCTGCATCGTGCACTGCGAGGGTGCCGCAGGGTGGGGCCGAAGCACACAACATCTGCCAACAGGCGCGACACAATGACACTACCTGGTGAGACAATATAAGCAGCACTGCAACCCGACAACATGCGTGCCGGAGCGACGGAAAAAGGGGTCTTACAGTGGAGGCCCGAACACAAGAAACCTTCCACAAAAAACCCAATCCTGAGACCGCAGGACGTCCATTGATTTTTGGTGCGGGAACGGCACGCTTTCCATCGCAAAACCATCGAACCCCCAGAAACCAAGGGAACCCAGGAGGCGCGCAGGGTGTTTCTTGGCATGGGTCTCTACTCTTAGAGGCCTCCTGGACAGGGTCGGAGTAGATGGGGTCGGAGGAACGGTCCGCATCGCCGATACATCGGCGATGCACAGGCGATGTATCGCCGACGCGGGCGATGCATCGGCGACGTCGTCGTGGAGCAAATCGGGCTCCACATCGAGCCGCCTCGCCGATGCATCGGCGATGCGAAGCGATCCTCTGACCCCATCTACTCCGACCCAATTTGTCGGCTACACGCAAGAGTGACCCTGGGTAAGAGTGACCTTTGGTGCGCGGCTTTTGGGGGGGCCGCGGGGGGGCCAAACCTGGGCGCGCAAGCCGCTGCTCCTGCTTCGTTTTCCGGCCATCTGGGGGCCCATCTGTGCCCGCACCCAAGGTCACCCCGGCGAAAGGTCACTCTTACGTCTCGTCGAACGTGGGAGGCCTAGAACTGTACGCGAAATGGCACAACGACCTTGCGCGGTGGCCTACGCGGGCCGCCACCGCGGTACGATCGGCGCAGGCAGCGAGGGGAAGGACGTCGGGTCTTGCCAGGGAGGCGTCCCTGGCCCAGGATGCCCCCGGGATTTCCGGGGGAGGCCCAGGTTCTAAAGGGGCCCAGGGACACACACATGAACAGACACATCTCTCATGATTCCCATATATTTCCCCCATGTTTTCTTGGTTTTCGTTTTCCCCCCACTTCCCATATTTCCCAATAGTTTCCTGGGAGTCGACGATTCATTGCCAGGATTCCCAATCTATTTTCCAATATTTCAGGGTGTTCGCCTTCCCCCCCCCCCTTCCCAGCTTTTCCCATATGGCCTCCGGAGCACCCCTCACGAGTCCTGGAGGGCCAGCGGGGGTCCACAGTGGCCCGCAAGGCCAGGACCACTTCTAGCAGCACCCGAGGAGGGGGCGTGGCCGCGAGGGAGACCCACCTCAGCGGCGACAGACAACGGGCCTCACGCGAGCTAAACATGGTGACCTCACGCCGCAGCCTGCGCGGGCCGCCACCCCAGCACGCCACACTGGAAACGAGGGCGCTTACGCGCGGCCTCACTCGGGCGGGTGGTCACACCCCCGAGTCGCCGAGCGGGGTTGGGGGGGGGAGGAGGAGGAGGAGGAGGAGGAGGAGGAGGAGGAGGAGGAGGAGGAGGAGGAGGAGGAGGAGGAGGAGGAGGAGGAGGAGGAGGAGGAGGCGGAGGAGGAGGAGGAGGAGGGAGGAGGAGGAGGAGGAGGAGGCGGGGGGTGACCTCCATTGGGGGAAAAAGGCCCGGAGAGGGGGCCCTTCGGGTCCCCTCGTGGAGCCAGCAGGGGCCCAACAGTGCCCCGAAGGGGCTCTCTCCTTCGCCCCCCCAAATGCACGTGGGCAGCCTGCGCGCCACCGTCGGCACCGCCGGCCCCAGTTTCTGAAGGGGCCCAGGGGCCTACACATGCATACACACAACTCCCAGGCTCCCCTAGATTCTCATACATTTTTTCTGGGCTTCTGCCTTCCCCCCCCCACTTCCCATAGTTTCGCACATCCTCCGGGGAATCGAAGCCTGATTGTGTATGTGTATGTGTGTTTTTCCCTCCTGACGCTCACCTGCTGGTAGCCCCCGTCGGCGGCCTGCGCCTCCACCTGCCGCCAGGCAACGCGGCCCCCGGTGGCGTGCTCAGACAGGAAGGACTCCTTCTTGGGAGGGCACGACAGGTACCGACATCACTACGCCCAGGACCTCTTCACGGGCGCGTGCTGACCGGCATGTCGTTGCGAATCCAGCCGTCGCTACGGGGGCAGGGTGGCGGCACTGGTGTATCTACATCAAGAGAGAGAGAGAGAGAGAGAGAGAACCAAAACACCAACAACACCAACAACAACAACAACAACAACTACAACAACAACAACAACAACACCAACAACAACACCAACAACAACACCAACAACAACACCAACAACCATTTTAAGGCTGTACGCTCTTACTTGTCCGCGAGTCATTCAACACGTATACCCTACACCCTCGATACCCGCCCTCTTCGTCTTCGATCACACCCCTTTCGGGGGGATTATTTCTCTTTGCTGGGGCCGGCGGGCTTAGACGTACGGGCAAACCGGAACGGGCGGACAATCCTTCGGGGGCGTACATCTCTCTGCCCGCCATTGGAATTGGCGCGGGCCCTGCAAGAGGAGGAGGGGAAGAACGAGGGAGAGTGGGAGGAAGGGGAGGGGGAAGGACGAAGGAAGAGGGAAGATACCACGTTGTGAAGGCGTCCTTGGCGCGTGCGTGGTTCCTGAGCGCCGAAACGCAATTCCAGAATAATTTGTGAGGACGTCGCACGCGAGAGCGCAGTCCTGAGTACATTGTGAGGAAATCTCGGGCGGGAGCGGGGGCCCTGACTAAGTTGCGAGGAAGTCTCAAGCGGGAGCGCCGTTCCTGAGCAAATTGCACGGAAGTCTCAGGCGGGAGCGGGGGTCCTCACTAAATTGCGAGGAAGTCTCAGGCGGGAGCGCCGTTCCTGAGTCAATTGCGCGGAAATGTCAGGCAGGAGCGGGGGTCCTGAGTAAAATTCGAAGAAGTCTCAGGCGGGAGCGCCGTTCCCACGTAAATTGCACGGAAGTCTCAGGCGGGAGCGGGGGTCTTGATTACATTGCGAGGAAGTCTCAGACGGGAGCGCCTTTCCTGAGTAAATTGCGCGGAAGTCTCAGGCGGGAGCGGGGGTCCTGAGTAAAAATCGAGGAAGTCTCAGGCGGGAGCCGTTGTTGTTGTAGCCCGGGGGGCAGGGGCACAGTTTGAGCAGGAAGACTTTCCTCGAGAAAAAACAAGGTGCGAGCCCCGGGGGTGGCACTTCAATCGACAAAAATCAATGTGCACCGGTGGGGGGGATCAACAATAATTATTCTTCAAGAATGAGAGTTCAACAACAACAACACCAACAACAGCAACACCAACAACAACAACAACAACAACAAACAACAAACAACACACAACACACAACCAGCAACAAACAACAAACAACAGACAACAAACGACAAACAACCCACATCAACAACAACAACAACAACAACAACAACAACAACAGCAACAGCAACAGCAACAGCAACAACAACAGCAACAAAAACAACAACCACAACCACAACCACAACAACAACCACAACCACAACCACAACCACAACAACAACAACCACAACAACACAAACAAAAGCAGCAGCAGCGACAACAACAGCAGCAACAACAACAACAACACCACCACCACCACCACCACCAACAACAACAACAGCAGCAGCAGCAGCAGCAGCAACAGCAACAGCAACAACAACACCAAGAACAATAACAATAACAATAACAAGAACAATAACAAGAACAACAACCACAACAACAACCACAACAACAACAACAACAACAACAACAACAACAACAAAACGGGCGCGAAAGACCCAACCATGCGCAATTGAATTGTGAATACCGCGTTGTGGGTACCGCTTTCGGTGGAGCTCCATGTGGGGCCACGAACCGTGTGAGGGGTGTGCCAAAATGGGCGTCGGGCGCATGCAGCCTGTGCCACTGGAGCCTTCGGTGGAGCTCCCTGTGGGGCCACAGACCGTGTGAAGGGTGCGCCGAAATGGGTGGCGTTGACGCATGCGGACCCTGCCACTGGGGTCTTCGGTGGAGCTCCCTGTGGGGCCACGAACCGTGTGAGGGGTGTGCCACAATGGGTGGCGGTCCCCGCATGCGGACCCTGCCGCTGGGGCCTTCGGTGGAGCTCCCTGTGGGGCCACGATCCTCGTGAGGCGTGTGCCACAATGGGTGGCGGTCCCCGCATGCGGGCCCTGCCACTGGAGCCTTCGGTAGAGCTCCCTATGGGGCCACGAACCGTGCGAAGGGTGTGCCGACAATGGGGGCGGTCCCCGCATGTGGACCCTGCCACTGGGGCCTTCGGTGGAGCTCCATGTGGGGCCACGAAGCGTGTGAGGGGTGTGCCGAAATGGGTGGCGATCCCCGCATGCGGACCCTGCCCTTGGGGCCTTCGGTGGAGCTCCCTGTGGAGCCACGAAGCGGTGAAGCTCCCTGTGGGGCCAAGAACCGTGCGAGGGGTGTGCCACAATGGGTGGCGGTCCGCACATGCTGACCCTGTCGCTGGGGCCTTCGGTGGAGCTCCCTGTGGGGCCACGATCCTCGTGAGGGGTGTGCCACAATGGGTGGCGGTCCCCGCATGCGGACCCTGCCGCTGGGGCCTTCAATGGAGCTCCCTTTGGTTGGTAGTCCCCAAACGTGGTGGTGACAACACCTGGCGGTGAGTCTCGGGCGATTTGGTGTCAGCACCCAGTTTGGGGACTCGTGCGGTTTTCCGAGGATGTCCCGGACACTGGTGGGTCCAGGAGTCACAAAACCCGGTGGTGACCCCGCGTCCCCAAACCCAGCGGTGACCTTTTGGGGGATTCCAGATCGCCACCTGGTATCTCACCACCCCGTTTGGGGGTTCCCAATTTGGGGCCTCGAACCGTGTGAGGGGCGTGCCGGAATGGGATGGGCATTATGAGAGCAGAGGCAAGGGATGGGAGAAGGAAGGAGGGGGAGGAAGGAAGGAGGCGGGATGGCGGGGCGCCGTCTCTTCAAAACGAGGACCCAACACCACAGGATGATTGGGAACAAGAGAGAGGGAGAAAGAGAGAGAAAGAGAGAGAGTTTCCTCTCCTGACCTTCGCCCCGCCCTTTTTGCTGCCCGGCCCGCGCTCGAATGCGGCACGCGCGCCCCCGAGCGGCGCCTGAAGGAACAAAATACAGCACAAGCAAACCAACTTTTGGAAGTCCGCCCTCCCCTGGCGCGCGGAGCGCGCCAGGGGCGGCGCTAGGCAGTGCCACGAGGGGGTTCCGGCGCAGGCCCGGATCATCCGCGCGGAGCTCCGAGAGTTCCTGCCTGTGCCGTGTTCCCTTCTTGGCGGCGCGCACATGAACGACGATCAAAAACGGATCTTACGGTAAGCTTACGCTAGGTGGCATAGCAACCTTACGCGGTGGCTTGCGCGAGCCGCCAGCGCGGCACGCCACAACAGAGACTAGGGCGCTTCCGAGCGACCGTACGCGGGCAGCTTACGCGCCAGTGTCGGCGCAGACGAGCCCGTATTCTTGCGTCGTTCGCGTGGGGGTAGGGGGAGGGGGGAAGGCTTCCTGGAAGGCGCCAGCCCTACAGTCACAGACAAGGCCCGCGCCTCCTCAGAAGCAAGGGTGCTTCGGAGAAGCCTTTCCCCCTCGCCCCACCCCCCTCTGCTCGTGGGCGACCCTTCTCCGAGCGCCAGCGGGTCGCCGTCGTACTCCGCCTTGCCAGAGGCGAACGGCCCCAGGCTCCACCACTTCTTGGACAACCTTCAGAGGAGCGTTTGTTTTATTCGGCGTTTCGACAGTGGGCGCAAGGGGGGAAGGGGGAGGGGGGGGGTCTGGCTCCAGACCTCTGCCGAGTGCGACTGTTTGCAAGAGTGTGGCCTCTGGGGGAGACCCCGCCCGCTCGAAACAGGCGCCAACACAAAAACAGCCAGGATCTACCCCAGGGGGGGGGGGAGGGGGGGGTGGGGGGCCCGCGCCCATCGGCAAAACAATGAAAAACGCTCACAATCCTGCTGGCGGCGTCGTCACCCAGGGCTTCGCCCACTTCCTTGCGATCGGCTCGTCATCCCGAGTCGTTCTCTGGTTCACTGATGGCCCCAGCAGGGCAGGGAGACGGCCTCCTTCAGAAGCCAGAGCGATGAAGACCGGCCGCCGCGACTCTCTTGTGATGCGAGGCCCGGGTCTGAGGGCCCGGGTCTGGGGCCCTTGTGATGAGGCGCCAAAAAACAACTGAGCTCTACGCCAGGGGTGGAGCCCACGCCGAGCGGCAAAGCAACGGATAAAAGAACGACCGCTGGCATGGGGGAAGGCGGGGCCTGTGGGAGAAACGAGTCCTGGAGGAGGAGGAAGAGGAGGAGGAGGAGGAGGAGGAGGAGGAGGAGGAGGAGGAGGAGGAGGAGGAGGAGGAGGAGGAGAATGATCGAGGAAGGGAGGAGGAGAGGAGAAGGAGGAGGAGGAGGAGAAGGATCGAGGAGGAGGAGGAGCAGGAGGAGGAGGAGGGAGGAGGGAGGGGAGGCGCAGCGTCGCCCAAACCTTTTGAGAGACCCTCCGGGAGGAGAGGCGGGGCCTGTGGGAGAAAGCGGTTCTGGGCCCTCGGGCCTTCCCCCCCCAAGAGAGACGAGAAAAGCTTCCTCTCCTCCCACCCCCCCCTACCTCCTCCCCCTCCTCCCCCTCCTCCTCCTCCTCCTCCTTCTGCGACCTTCTGCGAACATGATCACATCCCTCGCGCAAGCCTCAAACATGTGAGCACATGAAAAAAGAATGAGAGAGCGGGTGCGCGCACCTGATAGCCGTACTTGTCGCTGCCGCGGTGGAAGATGGGCAGGACACGACGACGACGACAGGGCGGCCACCCGATCCCCCCTCACTCTCAGCACGCACTGGAGAGCGGCACGGACCGACCGAATTCTCGGCCCGAAGACGGGTCGGCGCCTCGGCGGAACTTCCTCAAGCTCTGAGAGGCATCTTTATTACGGGGGCGGCCCAAACACACCGCGCGCAAAAACTGCGAACGCTGGGCCCCGAACGCACCGCACCGCGCGCACCACGCGATACGGCCTCCCCCCCAAAATACAGACGGCGGGAGGAGTGGGCCGAACGAGCGACCAACGGCACGCCACGGCACGGCACCTTGCAGATTCCTATCCTACTGCCTGCCTCTCCGCACCGTGCACACCGATACTTGCCCTTTTTATCCACTCGGCTCAGCTGGTGTCCAAGAGCATCGGGCACCAACTCAAGGTAATTCGGCCTGCACTTGATCCTCGCTCGGACCTTCTCGACATCTGGGAGGCCGAGCTTGGAAAGGTGCCTCATCGTCTCGTGAATGAGCCCCCCCCCTGGGCCACGAGCGCTCCCTGGACATGCATAAGCCTCCGCAATTCAGGGCTGCGGGGCTGCAATTCGGCACCTATCCGAGCAAGACGGCCCGCTTCTCGGTTCCCAGCCCAGGCCCAGTACAGGACCCCCCGATCCAGAGCCTGGCCCCGAGAAAGGTGACTCTTAACCTTACTCGCACGGATGTTATGCAGCCCCGCATCCCGAGCCCTGGCAAAAATATTGCACCAGATCTCGCTGAGTGCCACATTGGTGAGGTCCTGGTCTGGCCCTAAGGCCCATATATCCAGGACCATCTTGCACTCCGTCATGAACTCCGTTTCACGCGCCCCCAAGCGCCTAAGAGCCATGAGAAACGAATAAACCCCCCCCCCCGCCCGCCCATTGGAGCGGGTGGGGAAGATGACCATAAATTGACCCAGTAACGTTTCCCCCTATATCGACGGCCGCAGCCCCCACCCCGCACGGGCGAACAAGTCACTGTCGGGGTCCACCGCAGATCCATCCAGGCAGATCATGCCAGTGCCCAGGGTCCCAGAGGGGGGGTCGACCATCCACTGGAAGCTGGCATCCACACGGGGGGTGGGCCACCACCATTCAGGACTGGGAAAAAACGCCCTGGTCGCGCCAGGGTCTTCGCCACCTCTTTCACGACCCAGGGCCGGGAAGTCGTCGAGGTCAAGGTTTTCACGAACAGCACGGCTGCCGCCACAGTCGAAAAAACCTATGCTTCGGGGTGCCAGTGGACCCGCCGCGCCACCTACAAAGCGGACTCCGGACACGGCGCCCCGCAAAAAAACTCTGCTGCGTCGCGTAGCGCGTAGCCTCCAGCCACGACGCCTGACACCATGGCCGCCTCAAGACCACGGCCCTGGGCTCTAAGCTTGGACAGTTTCTGGGCGATCGGCCCCAAGAGGGGCCCCGGAGACAGCCCGTCAACTTTACGCCCAATTGACTGGACCAGCTCCCTCTGCGTAGAAACTCGATCAAGGTCTTGAGAGATCTCTTCCCGAACACACTGGGGTCAATCGGAACCCCACGGTCCGTCACCCAATCACAGCATCATCGCACCGTCCAGCCGAGGCGACGAAGGGTGCACAACACCGCGCCAGCAGGTCCAGTGACCTGCCCCCGGCCGAACCCAGGGGTGCTCAAGAAGGCTCCAAAACTCTTGCGCATCTGAGCTCTAGGCGCCCAGTCCCCATGCAGCGCAAGGCGCCGCATCTGAAGGGGTGCGGTGTTAGCCGCAAAGGTTGGGTCCGTCTTGGGGTCCCCTCCAAACTGGAATTCAATAGTCCTGGATATACCTTTGGGGGTTCCGCAAACGGCCTGGCCCAAGAGCGACCTGACTTGGCGCAGCTTGGCATCAACCATGCCCATCGCAGCACTGCCATACATCACCGCGGGCACACCTCCAGTCTTAACAACTTTGGAGGCACCACGGAAAGAGGAGCGCAAACCTTGAAACCTACTCACACGTGGCTTGAGGGAGGCAACTCGATTCTTCTGGACCCCAGCGCTCCGATGTCGCTTTTTAAGGGTAAAATCCACCCCGGGATTTTTGGTGGTCTTCCAAACCTGAAACCCCCACCCTTTGATCATGGTACCCACCTCTCTCCCAACTTCAGCATGCGTAGCCATGACCACTCCCTTGTCCCTGGAAATCACCAAGTGGAGCGCCTGGAGCTGGCTGAGAAGGTATTGGGCAGCGGTCCCAAGCCGCCGACCGAGGTGAGCTATCGCACAAGCCGCGAACAACGTGATGTCGCCCACCACGTTAAATACTCGCGTGCTCGGCCAGTGAATGATCATAGCATCGACGGGGGTGAGCAGGATGAGTTTCATCAGACTGGTCGCGAAGGCGCATCCCGCAATGATCCCCTGGCCAGCGTAAATTATACCCGGCATGACCTGCCCCATCTGGAGCAACTTGGGGGCCTGATACATTGCGAGCAGCAGACGGAGCCTGACCAGCGGAAACCCATGGCGTATAGCCGCATGGGCAAAAAGGATGTGCAACGCTTTTTCGTATGCTTTCGTAAGGTCCACCAGGGCCGCGGCCGCCCCGATCCCGACCAAAATACCATACACGGTGGCTCGCGCTTGCTCCCAGACCGCCCGCTCACAGCTCTTGCCATCCGAACCGTAATGGTGCGTCCTTTTTCTGGCTGCGCTCCCAGGCCACAGCCTCTCTACGCGTGACTTTGCCAAAGACCCTGCAGATCCCTGGCAGCAGCCCGATCGGTCTGAACCCCCCGTCGGGCTTGGGGAGGAGCGCCGTGAACATGAGCGCGAGCTGCACTGGAATGCGACCAATAGCCTCGCTCCACTGCCAGATCGCACACAGGGTCTCGAACGCCTCGTCACAGACCAGCGCCAAGTCCCGAGGATGGACCGTGTCCGACCCAAGCGCAGTGCGCTTCTTAAATCGGCGAGCGGCGTTCCTGACATCACTCACCGAGGCTCTGGCAGGGGCAGCAGCGCACTCGTGCCCTTGGGCACACAGACCGAGAATGCGGTGGTCCAAAAAGGGGATGGCGTCAGGGAGGTGTGACGCTTCAGCGGGCTGGGTCCAGACATCCTCCCAGACTCTCTGCATATGGTCCAT